TCTAGTAAGAAGTGAGAAACACATTCAAATCCTCTCTGGACAAGGAAAATTAAGAAACTACGCTTCCTGGGCAAAGACTCTGACTCGGTGGTTTTCAAACTACCTAAAGTCACAAAATGCTTTCATATCACTTCTTCTGCCCCAGGACTCCTACCCCTAGTTTTGTGGGCTGTGTGAGCTGATGTGGAGCTAGGAGACCTGGCCTACCAATGGCAGCACACCCTGACCCAGCCTGCTTTGCCATTATCCCCAAGTGCTTTGTGGTAGAACCCTAATGTCCTCCCATGCTACCCCAGGGTACTAAAGAACAGTTTGAAACCCACTGCTGTCACCTTTAAGTTATCAGCGTGAAATGTGGGAGCCAGAATTTTGCACCTCTGACTGGCAAAAGAGTTTTAAGCAGTCCCAACTGGGTGGGGGGGTTTGAGGGTTGGCCTTCAGTGACTAATGCAGGAGCAGAGGTGTAACAGGGCAGCTGTACATCTTGGGCAGTGGCAGCACCAGCTGCTAGCAGTAGCAGTGTGGCCAGTCACAGCTGTGGCTATTTTTTGCACCCCTTCTTGCCCAAAATCATCACCTGTGGCTACTGTCCCCATTGTTGCCCCCTCCAAGTAATGTTAATATGCAGGGCTTAGGAGGAAATTAGGTCCAAAGATCCCTCCTGAAGACACCTCAGTCCACTGCTTCCCAACACCATTCCCTCATCCAAAGCCTTCCACTGCTAGCAAACACAACCACCCTCCCCTGAAGGGAGACAGAGGTGAAGGCAAGTAAAAAGTATCATGTTTGTAGGGGGGCCATTGTAGAGGACATTCCGGTTTTCTGCTACTCTGTCCTCTATTGATACGAAACCTGATGCCTTTATGTCCTCCATTTTTCTCTTGACGTCAAAAATAGAGAACATAAAGGCATCAGGTTTCATATTGCCAGAGGGCAGAGGACAGAACCTATAGAGGACAACTGGACTGTCCTCTATGATGACCACCCTACATGTTTGTTATGAGGGCATTACAAGGACAGAAATCATCTTTGGGACAGGCACAAAATTAAGTAAATACAGTACTAGGGAAAATAATGCAGTATTCCAGCTCTCCTTCATATTCCTCCTACACCCAGGGAATGATCTTGATCTTCTTTCTGGCTCATGAAGCCAAAAGATGGCTGCTTTCATAGATTGAAGTTCCGCAGTAGCCATTTCTTCCAAGTATTTTGTATTAGAAAATGGATAGCTTTTCTTTAACGTATTTTAAGTTTGAAAGTTTTGACAATGCCATAAAGCACAGGATTTCCCTTTAAACATGAATCAATGTTATAATTGTTTGTTTCTTTGCACACAACATACACAAAAATAAATACTGGCAATGTGTTAGTACTAGCATCACTGAAAACAAGCCATCTTACCTTTTATTTAAAAGCTTTAAATCAGTACAATGTCATTTTCCATATTACACAGTGATTAAATATTTACTAAATAACTATATGAAAGTGTGCTTTAATTCAGATAAATCCTCATCAGATGTATCTTAATTATACTGTGTTTCTGGGACTAGACTTGGGTGAAGGGGAAGCATTGTTTTTGTTATCCTTAAGTAATGCAAAATGGACTGTGGTAGATCCATACGTTGGCTGCTGTCTTGTACTTATGTTACCAATAAAATGTTGATTTTTAAATTATTTGGACAAGCTTTAAAGGGAAAAAAAAACAAATAAACCCTCTATTTCAATCCTATTTACAAATACCTTCATTGATGCTATTTTACTGTTAAAATCAGTCATAAAGTCCCAAGAGCTACCTTAAAAGGAGCCCCCCCAAAGACTAACTTTACATCATGCAAATTTTGAAATAGCATACCATCCCCACCTCCACCCATATTCATAATGCAAGAGGTTTAGAGGTCAATAACTTATATAAGCCACCCTTGCTTAGACAT